CCCCAGTCTGAGATACTGGCCCAGCTCCCTTTGCTCTTGTGATTGCACTGGGCACCTGCCAGGACTAAATAACCTGGCTGCTTAGATAATTACCTATTTATGATTCTGCTGAGAATTCTTAGTCAAAGCTCATTTCAGAAATGTAAAATGCTTAGAGACTCAGCAGAGAAAGTTCTCTTGCAAATGCTACTTCAAAACACCACTTTTGACAATTTTTAAGGACAGTAGTTTCCCTTTCAGTTGATTCATTCAGCAGTGAACTTTAACTAATGGTAGAAAAAGGAGGCAAGGGGTATTTTCCTTCTGAATCAGAAAGGGATCTTACTAGTGTGTTCAACTTGCTTTCTGTAAAGAAACAGAAAATCTAAAAAGCCTTCCAAAAATGGATCAGAATGCCACAGTATATAAGATTTTTAACACTTATAACAGTATGTGCCCTACAATACCACACAGTTTTCCTTCTATAACACATTATTAGCACTTCTTCTTCAACACATATACCACTGTATCAGCCAATTCATGCTGATTCAATAAACACAACTTATGGATGAACACTAAAATATAATTGTTCAGCTGTAACCAATTATCAGACAAAATCCACTGCACTTCGCCTTCCTTCATTGATAACAGCATCCACTGATTTCAGAAGGTGCAGAGCAGTCCAAAATTTCACTTAGTTGTCACTTAGTTTAGACTACTTCAGAAACTGCTAGAAATAGATTTTCTTTCCTTCCTTTTAAAGCTGTACTCCATAAACTGTACAACCAACAGTCTCAACAATAGTTTTCATGAGTACTTTTAGGCCCTACTGTTGAAAGTGCTTTCAAGCTTGGTTAGCTTTAAGCACACGAGTACTCCTTATTTATATCTCAAAAGAACTATTCCTACACTTGAAGATATGTGTATGCAAATGCGTATGTATGTGAAGAACAAGGGCCTTAGTCTTGCAGGGTTATTTATTTCGAAGCAGGTATTTGTGTCTCTTGCGGCCAACATCTTAAGTACTGTCAAGTTCCATAAACTTGAAAGCAGGGGTTCCTGTTCTCAAGTATCATGAAAACCAACCTTCAGCCTCACCATCTTTTGAAGGTCTGCCCAACCACAGATGTTCTTTCACGGATACTTATAGTTGCGAGATGACACTCAGCTCCTGTTCAAAGAAAGTCAATTTTGCAATTTCGGTGCAAACCCTAGAGCTTGCTGCATGGACCTCCTGCTGTCCTGGGCAGGCACTGGCAGAGGCAGGGCTTCCAGGCCTCTGTTTCTGGGTGCAGGCTCCTGCCCTCTCCCTTGCTTTTCTTCCTCTGCAGGAAACCATTTTAACAGAACGGACTTGCAGATGAGTAACCTGGCAGATAGAGCAGCATTTGGATGGGTTTAGCTGTTGTGGAACCACAGGCTAATAGTTACATTCATTTATTCCTTCAGCTGCCTTCTAAGGAGTGGTAAGGTCACAGGATGATGCTACCGAAGGCATCACAAAGGGGCTCGAAGAAAAAGTCTTGCTGCAGTCCTGGGGAAGTTTTTGCAGACATCTTCCAATCCCTTCACTGAATGTCGTTTTTCGGAGTGACTTCTTCATCAGCTTCTCCAATCATTCCTGCCATTTCTGAGCTAAATCTGCTGGGCAGATAATAATGTTGAAGTGTTGCACTCATGGAATTTCCTGGCCCAAGACTTAGTGCCTGCAGAGTTTTTCTCCTATGGCAAGTCTCTTGCGTGTGAACAATTGATGTAACACATAATGGGTGTGTTACACCTTCAAAACACAGTATGGTACATTCACCTAAAGGTAGACAGCACTGAAAAAAACACCCTACTTTGTATTCCCCTCAAGAGACCACGAGGACGTGACTTAGCTGTCCTGGAGACTAAGTAACTTTGTGCTCACTGCTTATCCTCAAGACTTTGCCTGTGTCAGCGTGTAAGAAATGATAACATCCTCCATTTGCTTCTGCAGGAGAGCTTTTTAACTGCTCTGTGTGTTAATCTTTGTCAGACTAACCAGGCAGTAAGAGATGGAGCCAAGAATCCAGGCATGGCGTTTTTCAGGATGCCTCTCAGAAGGCCACAGCGTTGCCTTTCTTGTTTGATTCTTCCATGGCCCTTTTTGGTTACTTCCTGCAAAATTAAATTCATTGCAACAAGCTGTTGTATGATAGTCATAGACAGGTACACCCCAGCTTTCTGTGACTTCCTGGGTTTTGCACACTCATTTTTATGTAATTATAGATATACACATACATGCGTATGAGTCTTGCTTCAATGACTTGCAGAAGACAGAAAGTCAAACTGTTTTGCTTCTAAAACTTGCAAGAGAAGCCTTGACGGAAAATATAAAGTAAGCTACCTGTTACATACATAATAAAAAAATAATTTGCTGAAGTCTGTGAAAAACCCGATGTGATCTTTTGCTTAGGCCAAAAGTCCAGGACTTTTGATTTTTATTTCCAACACATTCATTAATCCATGTGACTGTGGATTAAGTACCCAGTTATCAGCCTCTAAATTAACCTCTGAAATAATAGAAAAAGTAGCATTATACACTAATTTTCCTTTACTTAACAGGCTATTTTTGTTAAGCCTTTGCATCTTTCTTTTGGGACTCTGAGGAACACTACAGTTGACTGGAAAAATGAGAAAGAGAACTTACATTGACTGAACACAGCCATACTCTCTTTTAGTAAACTATACTACAGGATAAAAAAAAATTACAAAAAAATTGCTAACAATTATAATTTTAAGGAGTAACTGATATTTTACCCTGTTTAGTTATCAGTTAACTGATCATATTATATATGATGCAAAAAAGCACATCTTTTAATTACTTTTCAAATGGAAAAGCAAAGGAAAAAAGAAAAAAAAGAGGATGTGTAACTTCTGTGTTGTTTTTTTTAGTACCAAGAAATGGAACTGACAATCATGATTTAAAAACAGATCAAAAATGCTAGTATAATTTCTCAAGAGAATCAGAAATGAATTTCTGATTCAAATATATGTATCGAACATGGGTCGCCAAGTTAAACTAACTCCTGTCTGGGAGAAGAATACAAACTGCTTTTTTCAGGCCAACCTCTGGCCCATGGTTTGTCTACAAATATCAGAGAGAAAAACAACATAATAAGGACCTATAAAAGTCTTTTTTTACTTTAAGCAGGATTAAGTTATGATTACTTTTGGGATGATAGAGAATGTGTCTAGCTTGCCTCTTAAATCTACATTCAAACTGTTTCAAATTTAATTAAGAGGTGAGTAATTGTTTAGAAAGCACTAGAATAATAAAATAAAACAACTTATAGCACAAAAACAGCCTTTAAAGGAAAGAGCGGGGAGTATTTCACTTCACTACAAGTAACAGTTGAGTATGTTTTATGATCACTCTAACAACTAGCATGCCCTTGAGACTGTGCAATCCTGAATTTCTAATATAATTTGTAGAGGGAAAATTAGGACAAAATGCAGTAACATTTCAAGTACAGACTCTCAGTATTTTAAAATTTTATGAAGTTTAAGGACTAGGTTAATATGGAATGACTCATGTTTTTAAGAGAAGCAGTAATACAGACCTGCACTTTAAAATTGTAACTGAAAACACGCTCAACTAATACAAAATAAAAAGTCAGAGTAGATTTTTCTGAAGAAAGGTCAACAACAATGAAAATTTAGCAGTAATAGGACAGGCTGAGAGCACTGCTAGTTTCAGTTTTGGAAAGTTAAAAACACGAGGCTAAGAGACCAGGTAAAAACAACGCCTTCACACTCAAATTTGTTCCCACCAGAAATTCATCCCAAACCAATGCAAAACAAATTTGCAAAACAAACCAATTCCCAGTCTAAACATCAGGCTACTAAATGATATCCACGCTTGGTGCAGATCTTCTGATTTCAGAGTTGTATTTGCTTTACTTGGTGTCAAATACATCCCACACTACATTTCACTCCATGATGTCTTCGAGCGTCAACAGAATTACTCACTACGTTTCAAAGTAAAGCAGTTCCAGCCAAGCCAGCTCTCTTGGAGTGTCATTTTGCTCACAGGGCAAAGACAGTGGAGTTGCAAAGGCATAAGTGAGGGTATAATTTATTTACATATTTCTTAGATCCATGCCCACACGCAAACCAAAGGAACCCAGCTCAGCTCTCAGATCCCAAATTGAGTTTTTCAAAGCTCGTGGTTAGAAATACCATCCCTTTCACTTCTGTACGGAGCACAATGACCTAGAGATGCTTGAAACGCAAAACTCAGGCTGGAACTTTACACATTTATTTCTTAAGGCTAATGCTGCAATTACCATTCTTGTACACCACAATGGACAACACAAGATACCAAAACTGCTTATTTGATCAAAGCTGGAGCATTAAGTTTCAGTTCTTCTCCAGTTCTCTGCCTTCCGTCTGCACAACTACTATCAGAAAGTGTAAGTAAAGTCTGCAAATGCAAACTTCCAATAGTCTGTAACACGGAGTAATATTCCAGAGATGAAATAAGAAGATTGCATTAACCAAGCCCCTTTCTATAGGGCCTATGATTTTAACTTCATTAGTCTCATGCCTGTCAAATGTGCTGAAGCAAAATACACGTGACACCGCATAGGTATTTTTTTAAATAGGAGAAGCTGTTAGGACTGAAACAAACTGCAGAGAGAACCCAGTGGGGACAATGTGGCAACTCAGCTCGGCTTCAGCTTGTCCCAGACAGGCTTTTGGCTGAAAGAGGAAGCAAAACCAGCTACCATCAGGATGAGCTGTTATTGTCAAGTCATACTTTTTGCTTCAAAATTAACAAGCTGCCCTGCTTTCCACTGGATAAAATCCAGATACAATTTCAACATTTTTATCAAACAGAATAACAGTCTAGCTGTTTCTTAAAAAATTAAAAATAGTCCACCTGAGTACTAAAAAGTAGTTACTCTAAAAATACTATTTGCAATATCAGACAACTTACAGTATACCTGCAGGAAGGAACCACACCACCTTTGATCAGTTGAGAAGATACTTACCATTGGCAGTGCATTGATATGCAGAAGTTTTCCTTTCAGGTGCCTCTTGGCACAGCACGGTGATGCTGACAAGGAAATAAGGAGAGAAAAAAGGAAACATTAATATTTATTGTTTTGAAAACAGTGGTGTTAACACAATGAAATGTTATCAAGTGTGGGCCTTCATGGCTCTTGCTGTTCAAGGAGGTGAGCTATTGCCAGTGGATTTGTCCGCAGCCTGGAGCAGCAGCAATCAGGCACAGCAGAGCACGCAGAGACTGGGTTTTGCATAGATCCTGTCCCTACCCACATCACAGCCTGCTCCTGTGGGGAGCCCAAAACACAGAGCTTGGACCAAATCAGCCTGTTGAATGGATATTTACACCAGCAGACCTCTAAACAGGAGCACCCACAAACAAAACAACCTGTGTAGAAGAATTCTGATGGCTGGATTTTGCCCTGGCTTTCCAGAAAAAGCTTTGGGAAGTTAACAAGGCAAAGGAGGAAGCTTACAGTGTTCCGCCCATGCCAAATTTCTTCTGGAAATAAACCTCAGCTCCCGACTTCTAAACACTGAAGAGCTCCAAACAAAAACCAACATTCCAGCGGTCTGACTTCCAAAATTGCTGCATCCACTGAAAAGCAGCAAAATTTTAAAGAAAACTGTTTTCCTAACGCGTATTGCACTAAATAACTCCAGTTATGTACACAGATGTGTTATGTACTCAGATAGTGATCAACTCTTGCAGTGACCTCAGCAATTAAAAAAACAGCTCATTCTAGTTGCTGGCTACATTTGACAATGTGTACGTAATAGAAGTCTTCCTAGTGCAGTATTCAAGAAAAATCTTTCCTAGCTTCAAAAACCAAACAAAAACATAATCCAAAAAATCCACTCTCCTACATTTTAGTAATTTTATTTACAAAGCAATGATAATTTTATGCATCTAACAATAAAATAATTAAGCATAAGCAAGCACATTTCGATGTCCAAAAATGTAATACACTGTAATACACATTTTTATTCATTGATGACACATGATTTTTATTCACGCTAATATTTCTGAGTGGTTGCTCTCCATACCAATACTTGTCAGACTACTTTTCTGGTTAGGAGATAATCTAATCACCCACTCAAAGGGCAGGAATGGGGACAGATGGACATGGGTGACTAATAAAGTATTATCCTACTATTTTTAGACTTAACTATTTACAACGCATCTGTAAGCTGTGTTCAAGAACTTTTACTGTGAGTAAAGAGTAACTCTGGTTTTCACGGCTCATGGTCAACACCAAGTTCTCGCATGCAATTTGCAAGCTCAACCAGTAGGAACTGGTTTATTATAAAGCCATTTTCGTACCCAGCCAAAGAAAGAGGTGCTGCAGTCAGGCTTATTTTATTCTTTGAGGTCCCACCGCACTACCAAGGCAGACAGAAATGTAACCTTCACAGGGTGCAACCTTCAGAGTGGAAGAGAGAGGCGATGCAGAGGATGCAGACGAATGCAGGAAAGCTGGGGATTGAAAGAATTTGCAAACAGGCTCTTGTTGCCTGGCTTGGTTGTACTGGGGCCTCAGAAATTATGTAAATAGGCTGAGGAAAACTCCAGAGCTTAAGTGGCATGGTTTCCTATGTGGAGCTACTCAAAGTTTATTTTTTCCACAGCCAGGGTTGCAGACCAGCAGAGAAGAGAAAGCTTTATGACCTTGCTGGGTAGACCCCATAAACAAACATTACTTGCTTATAAACGAGAGTTTTCCCTAAAACCAGAACACCATACCAACCAACCAATATTTGTGCCCTTCTTTTGAGAGTGGACTAAATCATTATAAAAGCTGTGTGCAGAGAAAGGCAGAGGAGGGCTCTGCTGCCCTGTTCTGAACGTGACACTTGGTTTGGGTTATTTCATTCGGGAAGGAACATGGCAAACATAAATAAAAGGATGATTGCACAAACATAAACCATTTTCTTCAATGAAAAAAGGCTTTCTTCAGTATACACTGCCCAAACTGTCTTCTTCCAACACCCCTTTGCCCTTGTGCAATCTTCTGAGTACTGTACTTATCGTCAGAGCCAGAGAGGGAAACCTTTCTGTCTGATCTGTGGAAGAGGCTTCTTGTCCTTCGCTTTATATCTGAACAGGGCAGTGACACGGAAAGAAGCTGGAAGCAAAGACTCAAGAGAGCGAGGAAAGAAAGGGTTCACTGACTCTGCCTCATTCCTCACTCATGTTAATTGGTTGTAGGCTCCAGTTTTAAATAAGAGCGCTTGAAATGACACGCAAACATTTACAACACGGCACTGTCCTTCTGCAGAATCAAGTCCCGAGTCCAAACACCTCAGCAGCCGCTTTTTTCTTTCCAGATTTCTCCTATTGGATTTTGCCATTCTTGGCATTTACCTTGAAACAACGCAGGTGATGGCTACAATTCATTGGACTATAATTAATTTAAACTATCTCTCACCTTTATATACCAACCTTGTTATGGTTATTTAAACAGGTGACCAGCTGTAGTAACAGCTACACTATATGACACTTAAAAATAATCCACCAGATTCCTTTGAAGTTGCCAAAGCACAGCTCGGGAATGCACAGTAGCTTCTGAGTTTGGATTCTTCATCTCGGGGGGGCTGGCAGGCAAATGATGGGCAGTTCCCATTGGCAGGGCCAAAACCAGCACACCACGCCAGCTACTGAAAGAGCAAATATCCACACTGCTAGCACAGACTAGGCAGCTGTTATCAGCCGAGAAATAATCGTGTGCTACAGAGATGAAACCGCAGATAAAAACAACCGTGGCACTGTGCAATGACAAATCTGGTTATAAACACACAGCGCAGATGCACACTAGCATTATTCCTTGCTTGTTTCCAAACATAATCAGATCAAAACAAGGATTTGCCTAGAAGCTACTGACAAAAACATTCAACCACTTTCTTCCAGAAACGTCATCATTTCTGCAATTTTCTCCTACCCATCCGTTACATAAGGAATTACACTGGGTTTGTGCTACAGCTAAAACAATGTTTTCTGCGTGAGCTTTGAATTGCTTCTGCTTCACATGTGAACTTGTGCGCTCACGGTTTCCTTCTAATCCTCTTAGGATCACACTGTTTATACTACTTTCTGAGATTTCGGTGCTATCTAAGCTTTAACAACAAATTTAGTCATTAGATGTGCTTTCTGTATTACAAAAGCCTTCTAAGGATACAGCATATTTTCTTCTAAATTCTCCTTGAGCATCCTGCTTTTATCTGGATCTG